GCTTCCCCTGGGCCAAGTCAGGAGCTGGGGCAGCGCTTACCTTGTACCTCTCAGCGAGCCGGAAACCCAGGACGTGCTGCAGCTTCCTCAGGCAGATGGGGCAGAGGTCTGGGGGCCGCCGCAGGGCTTCATCCAGGCTGAGCGCCCCTTGCATGAGGCAGCGGAGCCAGCGGCAGCTCCCCAGGCCCAGGAGGTRGCAGAGTTCGTGGCATGTGACCTGAGGGAGAAGGCCACCAGCCTGGTCTCACAACCCTGCCCTCTACCCACAGACCCCCAACCCCTGGTGAGGTCAGACTGCTGGCAAATGGTCCAAGCACACCTGCCCCTCTGGGGGCTCAGGGGAAGCCACACAGCATGGGGGCTTGGGAGCCAGGCAGATCGTAGGTCAGATCCCAGCCRTCCCCCAGAGCTATGTGGCCTTTGGCAAAACACTTGGCATCTCTGAGCCTCAATTTCCTCACTCCGTAAAGTGAGGGACTGGCCTCTTCTGGACAATGTAACTGGCCAGGCAGAAGGCTCAGCCAGAGCCCACTATGACCTTCCTCTGAGGACACATCCACAGCTGCCCAGCCACCCACCCTCTTCCTGTCCCCCATGCCCACCCTGAAGCACTGTTCCACTCCCAGGGTGCTAAAGCACTGGTTCCTGCCTGTGTCCTGCAGCGGGGTCTCAGGGCCATTTGCTGCCTCCTCAAGCAGACCTGGATCAAGGTCATTGGGCCCCACCTGAGAGAATTTCCCTGAGAACCGGGCGAAGCTGCAGACTCCCACATCTGGGGAGAGGGAAGGACAAGGGGACTCAGTGGGCAGCCTCAGATGCAGGGAGCCCAGAGTGAAAGCAGCCCATCCTCTCTTGCAACCCAGCATGGCCTGAGCATGAGCCAGTCCTGGGAGACCCTGCCCTGCCAGCATGCCCACATGAAGGCCGGCCCTGAGGCAGCAGCCAAGCCAGCCTCTTGCCCAGGAATAGCAAAAATGTGGGGGACAAGATCACGCAGCTGTTTCCATAGGTGTGCATCACCCTCCCCTGGAGCAAGAGCACATGCCAGGCTCCCTCTAGGTGGAAATTGCAGGGCCTCAGCTCACCATGCCCTGGGAGGGACTTGCTGAAGGTGAAGCTCCAGGTCTTATGGGAGTACAGGTCAGACAGCATGAGGCGCACACACAGTGCGTCATCTGGCTTGTTGTTCTTTAAGAAGGACAGGATACCATCTGGGAGGAGAGTGCTGGGGGTCAGGAGGTGGCTAGGGACCCATCTCCAGCCCCTGCTCAGGACAGGCTAATAGATGTGGAAATGGAGACATTATTCTGTATTAACTAGAAAGTCAAGGTCAGAATGAGAGACCTGAGCTGCAGTACTATTTTGGAGGATGGAGGAAGAGGCCACAAGCCAATGAATGCAGACATCCCCGGAAACTGGAAAAGGTGGATAGTTTCTCCCCAGAGCCTGAGGAGGAACGCAGCCCGCCCACACCTTGACCTCCATGCAGGGAGACTCCTAACCCACAAAACTGTAAGAACAGTTGTGTGATCATCAGTTACAGCAGTGATAGGGACCGACACTCCCCAGGAGTGTGGGCATGGACAGGGCTGCGGAAGCCAGGACACAGTCAATGAGGAGCCCAAGGGAGGGCCCAGCCAGGTCCCAGGAAACCAGGAGGGAGTCTCTAGTGACTGAAGAGGGAAGAGAGGGCAGGGAAAGGGAGGGGGAAGGCCACCATAGAGAAAGTGCTTTCTGAGGAGCAGGGAGGCAAGGTGGTGGTGGGAGGGGCATCTCCACAGAGGCAGAGTGTAACCTTGACCAGGAGCCAGGCAGGGGAGGCCAGGTGAGAGAAATGCTGCAGGTGGGGAGCCGTATGGAAGGAGGGGCAGAGTCGCCTCTGATTGTGTCTCCTCAGTGGAAAGAGTCAAGAAGGAGGGGGAAGAGCAGTGGGCACTGCTGGGGCACCACTGAGGGCCCTGGCCCTGCATCTCAGGGAGCCCACCCAGCACATCCCATTGGTGGAGGTTCAAGCAGGGGTGGACCATGCAGGGAGAGGAAGGAGATGCGGGAGAGGAAATAGGAACCAAGAATTCTAAACCTAGGAAGGGACTCAAGAAACAAGAGGTAGATCGGGGGTGAGGAAGGAACTAGAGAGACAGGCAGAAGATGCTGGAGGAGGCCATGGGGGACACGCTCTGGCTTATGGAGATGATATAGCACATCATTGTCAGTGGAAATACAGCCTGAGCTACACTTATAACTTTAAATTTCCCCAAAGTAAAAAAAGAAAAGAGAACAAATTGATTTTAACAATAGGTTTGATTTAACTTATTATATCCAAAATATTTTCTTACTCAATTTTTTTTTATAACTTAGGATTGAACCCAGGACACTCAACCACCAAGACACATTCCCAGCCTTCTTATTTTTTATTTAGAGACAGGATCTTGTTAAGTTGCTTAGGGCCTCACTAACTTGCTGAGACTAGCTTTGAACCTGCCATCCTCCTGCCTCAGCCTCCAGAGCCATTGGAATTACGGGTAAGCACCTGTAATCTACACTGCACCCAGCTACACACATACTCAAAATTTTTTAATTATGCTTTTGTTTGTTTTGGTGCAACTGAGGATTGAACCCAGGGGCTCTTTACCACTGAGCCATATCCCAGCCATTTTTATTTTTTATATAGAGACAAGGTCTTGCTAAATTACTTAGGGCCTCACTAAGTTGCTGACGCTGGCCTTGAACTTCCCATCCAGCTCTGGTGCCTGAATGCTTCAGCCTGTAATCCCAGCTACTCCAGAGGCTGAGGCAGGAGGATCACAAGTGCAAACCCAGCATGAGACCTGTTTCAAAAAAAAAATTTAAAGGACTGGGGATGTAAATCAGTGGGTAAGTGCCCCTGGGTTCAATATCCCTTACCACAACAAAATGAATACAAAGAAGAGTAAACTAATTTTTCAAACAAAATGTCCAACAATCAAAATAACAAGGTGCACCAGGAACAAGTTAACAGATTTGGCAGAACCACCAACCAACACAGCCAGCTGGGCCCCAGGCAGATGCTGTGAGCTGCTATCAAGGGACAGGAACCCTAGGTCCAACCACAAAAAGAAAGAATACACTGGAAGCTACAGAATTGCCACTCAGGATGACAGAATGAGGACTGGTGTGGTGAGGGGCACTCAGACCCTGTTGCAGAGAGTACTGGAGGTGAGTGAATGGAAGAATGAAGGCCAGACAGAAATCTCAGCAGCAAGAGGGGAGCCTGTGGCAGTGTGGGCCACAGGCCAGTGAAGAAAGCCCACGCTGAGCAGTTCCCAGAACATGAACAACACTGATCCACTCTCGCCAGAGAGCACCTGCTTGGGAACCTCCCTGGGCTTGCATCTGAGTCTCCTGTCCACTCAGGCCTCATTCCTTGGCTGGCCTCACTCTCCAAAGGCCAACCACCCGAAGGCACAGATAGGGCCTCAAGGACCGGGTCATCTGGCCACAGGAAGGTCCTTGCAAAGTGAATGGAGCAAAGCTGAGCAGCTTTCAAGGGGTGCCCTTCACCTGCTCTGCATCCCAGGGAACACTCTGGGAGTGGGCCCTGAGCTGTGGGGCCAACTCCATAGACTGCTGGGGAGGAAGAGGAACTCCTTATTCCCATTCTGTCCAATAGGTGGGGAAAACTGATGCCCCACAGAAGAGCAAACAAGTTCCTTCTGTCTCTGGAGCTCCTTCCTCCCCTTTTCTTTCCAGAATCGGCCTTTCACTACACAGTGGGATGGGGCCTCGCTGGCCCTGCCCTGGTCTGGGCTCCACCCCCAGCCTGGCTCACCTGTGTGGAGCTGCGGCTCACCAGAGTCCTGACTGGGGCGCGAGGAGCAACGGATGGACGCAGCCGCCACAGAGGGCAGGCACTTGACCCTCAAGCCCAGGAAGAAGGCCTCCACGCAGCTCCGCAGGTGATCCAGCAAGGGGCATCCTGCCAGCTCCTCGCTCAGATCTGGGGGCAGAGCAGCTGGTCAGCCCCACTGTGCCCCCAAAGGTCTGTGACTGCAGCATCAGGAGCTGTCACCAATACTGGCCATCCAGGGAAACAAGGCCAGTGCCCAGACAAGAGGCCAGGAACCCTGGCATTGTGGCGCAAAGACTGAGACAGGAGGATTCCAAGTTCAAGGCCAGACTGTCTCAAAATAAAGAATAAAAAGGGCTGGGGATGTAGCTCAGTGGTAAATCATCCCTGGATTCAATCCCCACTATCAAAAAAGAAAACAGGGCTGGGGCTGTGGCTCAGCAGTAGAGTGCTCGCCTTGCATGTGCGAGGCCCTGGGTTCGATCCTCAGCACCACATAAAAATAAATAAATACAATAAAGGAATTGTGTCYAACTACAACTAAAAAATAAAATATTAAAAAAACAATAAAGGACAGGAATCACTGTCACACGTGAAACTCAGGGCGGCAGGGACTTCTACAGTGCTGCTAGAAGCCCATAAGCTGACCAGGAGAGGCCCCCTAGCAGTGGGTGGCAGAAGCAAGCATGTTCCTCAGCTGCAAAAAGTCAGCCTGGTTGAAACAGGAGTGTAGGCTCACGCTGGAAAGCAAGGGCTTGGCAGGGCAGGGGGGGACACCACCAGATGGCATGCTAGGAGGACAGATGGACACAACCGAGAGTGGAGGCCATGGGAATGGTTTCGAGGTCTCCAGACCTTGGTCTCAGCCTGGACCTGGTAGAAATTCAGGACCTAGGCCCACACCAGACCTCCCGCCCATCTTGGCAAGGTGCCATGTGTCCACATGTCAGGGAAGAGGCTCCTGGAGGTATAAGCAAGGACACATAAAAAGGGTTGGCCCCACAGGGTCAAGAGCAGTCTCAGATGTGGGATTGTGTAGAGCAAGACCCCTGAAGCCTCTAGCACGCTGATCCTGAGCATCTGGGAGGGGGATGGTGTGGACCCCGGGGGCTGGTATGGACCCCGGGGGCTGCCAACTAGCCTATTGAGGTCAAGGCCAGTCAAAGCCCACCTTCTTCTGACTGGCTGCGCAGAAGGGTGTGACACACCAACACCTCAGACAGAAGCTTGACATTCCTCTCCAAAGCCAAGTGCCACTTATGCCAGGCTGGGGCCACCTGCCTTGGAATGCTGACAGCACAGTGGCCGGCCCACCTCTGATCCTCCCCATTACCTGGCTGGGCTATTCTCTCGCCCCTCAGATCTCCTTGTGTCCCCCAATCTCTTGACAAATGAAGAGCCCTGGAAGACAGCAGCCATGCCAGGGGTCCCTGAGTCCTGCTCCCCATGCCCACCTGAGAGTGGATGGTCCCACGGCTCCAGGCTTTCTGACCAGTGTCAAAGATGGGTGGGGGAAAACAGGGCCTCCCTGCCTCACCCCAATTCCAAACACACCCAATGCCACCAGCCCTAACTGGGGCTGTGCCCAAGCTGGTTCCCTGGCTCCAGCCCCCTCCCTGTACCTATTGGTTGCAGGTAAATGTGCTTCCGAGCCAGGCTCTGCTTCCGGTGCTGCAGSGAGATGTGGAACGTCTGGAAGTCCTCAGGGGCCTCAGGGTGGCTCAGCAGCCAGTCAAAGGCCGAGTGGATGAGCAGTGTGCAGAAGAGGGTCCTCTGGGGGTTGTAGGCCTCAGACAGGAACAGCCTCTCCGCCGGGGTGAAGGCCGAGGCGTAGAGCTGCTGCAGGCCGGCGTCACTGGAGACCAGCGCATCCTTCAGGGCCCGAGGGCCGAAGCTGAACTCCTGGGCCTGTCTACACTGCAGCATGGTAGCCACACCCAGGAACTCCTGTGGCTGCCCATGAACTGCCCAGGGGACAATCACCGTCTCTTCTAGAACCTTCCCTTGAACTGACAGAAGTGGCTGCCAGGGGTTCCCAGCAGAAGGATGCTGGGCCAAGAGCCTGCGTGGCCCAGTCCTGCCTGGAACTGGACCTCCTTAGCAAAGCGAGGGAAGGCATGGGCACCTCCAGACCTGCGGACACCCTACAGGGGACATAGAGCATGCCGCAGTCACCACTAGGCACACACAGGCCTGCTGTGTCAGGCACAGGGGAGCCCTACAGAGCCCCAGGATGCAGCACTTCCCCCCAACCAGGAACAGAGGGCACTCTTCTCTTTGTCCTTCGGGCAGGCTGGGTCCCCAATCCAGAACTAAGCTAGAAGACTCCTCTCCCCTAGGCCAGGATGCTCCTCCAGGTCTCACACTCTGCTGGAATCCCCGTGAAGGGCAGGGACCCACTCCTTGTCATACACCCAAACTGTGCCCTGAGCCCTTGGAAAGAAGAGGGTGCACACCTGTAATCCCAGAAGCTTAGGAGGTTGAGACAGGAGGATCACAGGTTCAAAGTCAGCCTCAGCAACTTAGCAAGGCCCTAAGCAACTCAGCAAGACCCTGTCTCTAAATAAAAAATTAAAAGGGCTGGGGATGTGGCTCAGTGGTTAAGTGCCCCTGGGTTCAATCCCTAGTACAAAAATAAATAAATAAATAAATAAAAGAAGGAAGTGGGGCATAGGAAGAGACCTCACCCTTTGTGCTGAGCCCCTGCAAAGCCAGAGGGGCTCCTCCATGCAAGAAACTGGAAGCCACTCTCTTTGTGATCACAGAGTACACCCCATCCCGTAGGGCCATAACTGCACCTCTCTTTAACCCAACCCTAAGCTTCCAGGCCAGAACCGTGCATGTCCCCAGGAAGCACATGGAGGAGGAAGGCAGCGCCAGTGGCTCCCCACCCAGAAGTGTCCAGGGCACACACAAGGGGTATGAAACACAAATTAGGTGGTCAGGGGCAGCATGCGAACTAAATGAGGAGTTTCAGAGAAGCAAGGAGCGGATCTGAACTACGGGGACAGCCGGCCGACTGTGACACCTGCTCTGTCCTTTTGAGCCAGGAACAAGGACTGGCGCAGTCACGTATTTGTCAGAAACACACCTGAAAAGCTGTCAGTAAGCACTCGACTCTGGCCACCAGCTGCTTTGGGCCTTCCTTGATGTCTCAGTTCAGAGACTGACGCCGCAAAGGCAGGTAAGGGGCAGGCTGGGTGGGGGACCCTTATGGAACAGTAATAAAAGGACGGACAGGGATGAGGGGAACCAGAGGCCAGGGATGAGAAGATATACAAGTCACAGCAGAGAGCCCCAGAGGTACAAGGACTGAAGGTGGGACAGCCCCGGGCCATCCTCAACTCAGGAAGTTCAGACACAAAACCCACTTCTCTGCAGAGCACCAAGTGCGGGGCCTCCAGCCCCACTTGGAAACCAGAAGGGGGCTCCTTTTTGTATGAGAACGAGGACTCCACACTCTCTTTAACYCAATTTAAAACATTCATCTGAAAAATACATTTATAGCTACTCAAACACTTAGGTTTGAACAGAAAGTCTGGGGTACACACTTTATAAACCTTCCTTGGAAGGAAACATACACAGATGTATATAATACATGCACATATAAGTCCATAAATGTGATTTTTTTCCAGAGGAAAGCACTATCCTAAAGGAAGGACCCTTCCAGGATTAAATTTCCATCAAGATCCTTCCCACACTAAGCTTTATATAGTTTCTCTCCATGTATATTTAACAAACTGAAGTTCCAACTGTATAATCTTATATCTTTTGCTTGGTACTTTATGGCATTATCCCAGAGTTTTAAATATTCTATAAAAATGCCATTTTCAATGGCTGCCCCCCAAACATCAGAGTGCCCGTCTTTGCTCACGAGTCTGTTTCCTTCTCCTCCAGATGGATTCCTAGAGGGGTTTCCATGTGCCGGGGTTTAAAGCATCTTGCTTTGTATTGTCAAGTCGCTTCCCAGAAGGGGTACGCTAGTTGACATTCCTGCCAGCCCTCAAAGTTCTGAGTAGAGAGCAACAAATAAAAATAACTGCCCAGGGCACAAACCCCTCTGGGTTCCTGGCAAGGCTTTGTTGCATTAGTGCCCAGGGATGTGGGTACTGGGTTCAGGAGGGTGAAAAGGTGGAGCCAAGCTGAGCCACAGCACTCACGAGAATCAGGTGCAATCAGAACACACAGATCCCGTGCCCAAACACCCCTACCCTGTGCCCACTGACAGACTCCAGGACAGTTCTAGCTCCTGTGCCTATTCAGGACACGTAGGCAATACTGGTGTTTTGCAACACAATGAACAATTCACTCCTGGGTGTAGGAAAAAAAAAATCCACCAGGTGAATGAATGAGGGAGAAGATCAAACCCATGGCAATGAGAAGAGCCTAATGRGCAAGTTTCCCAGGGGACAGGGGTGTGCAAGGAAGAACAGCAAGGAATTGAATTTCCACTGGCTCCCTCCCTTTGGAAGACCCAAGACACTCAGAAGCAGCCAAGAGACTCATGAGTTTCCAAAGGAGACCACGCTGATCCCAGCACAGGGGCACATGTGAATTTATCAGTTCATCAATTCATTCTTCCAACAGTTGTACTAGACAGGGGTCTCCAGGGCAACAGAAGCAATAGGAGGGAAGCATTTTATAGGTGTGTTTATAAAATGTGTTATTTGTTTATTTATTGTTGTGGCGCTGGAGATGGAATCCACGGGTGCTCTACCATGAGCTCCACCCCAGCCCTTTTTTTATTTGAGTCAGGGATCTTGTTAAGTTGCTTAGGGCCCCAATAAGTTGCTGAAGCTGGCCTTGAACTTTCCGAACCTCCAGTCTCAGCCTTCCAAGTCACTACCATGACAGTTGCCACCAGGCCCAGCTAAGATATATTAGGAGGAATTGGCTCTGAAGGCCCATGAGCTGTCTCTAGCAGATTGGGACCAGGGGAAGGAAGCAGTGAATTTCTGTCCACAGGTCCCAGTTCAAGGGCAGGAGAAGGGGAGAAATCCCAGCTCAGGCAGAAAAGAGAGTGGATCCCTCCTGTCTCTGCCCTTTGCTGTATTCCCACCCTCAAGGGACTGAAAGGTGCCCAGTACATTGGAGAGAACAGTCTGCTTTACAGAGCCCAAGATCCTACTGCTGATGTCACCGGAAACACTCYACAGACACACCCACGGTATCTCACCTGCCTAGGTGAGACAGCCCAGTCACAGCCCAGTCAAGTGGACACAGAATATTAACTGCTGCAGTTTCCAAGTGCCCCAGGCCCTTTGTTAGAACAAAACAGACAGGGTGGTCTCAAGGGGCTTGGAGAGGCAGGACAGGTGGCAAAAGCATTGAAGGTAAATATTGTTACAAGTCAGTTAGAAGATGGCAAATGAAACTGGAAGGAGAAAAGGCAGAATTGGGGGGGGTGGTCAGGAGTTCGGGACCCCGTGGCCATTTCCAAGAGGGCTTGAAAGTGGCTTCGTCAGAAGGGAAGAAGTGGGGAGTGAGTCTGCTACTTCCCAGAGGGGCATGGAGGGTGAGCAGCTGGGAAGCCCACCCTCTGCCAACAGGCAGATGTGTTCTGGGGACAGGAGGAGACTGGCCATCTGGCTGCAGTGCACAAAGGGAAGAACAGGGGACAAAGTCAGGGAGGGATGGCCACATTGTTCAGGAACTCTGACCTCGGTCTGGAGGAAGTGTGAAGGCTGTGGGCTTTGAGAAGGGGCTCTAGGAGTCTGCCTTGTCCCCAGGCTGAGCCAGATGTCAGGGAGTATGGAGACAGCACCCCAGCAAGCCTCAGTAGGCAGTCAGTGGGCTATGAGCAGGGACCCCAGGAGACTGAGCAGAAAACCCTGGAAGCCAAATGCCCTCAACCCCAGCTGGGGTTCTGGCATGAACTTGGTCATCTGACMTTTAACCCCACCATGCCTCAGTTTCCCCCCAGACATGGTATCTCCTGCCTTCCCTGCCCAGATCTTGGTTGGGCCCAACAGAAGGGAGGAGGTTCCCAGCTCTGTGAGCAGCAAGATGCACCGAGCACCTGACTCCTTCGGCATGTCACCAGCCTATTTTGGTTTCTGGATGCCGGTCACAGGACCTGCCTACAAGTGCCCCACTTGCCCTAGTCCTTCCTAATGCTCACAAACACCTACACCCCCACTCTGGAGCCAGAAGCAGTGCCACTCACTACCTCTGAATTATTCCCTTAGTGGCTCCACGTTGGGCATGAAAGTGTGACCCCCTCTGCCCCCCCCATGTCACTCTCTCTGAGACCCTGTACCCAGATCTCAAGAAGCCTGTGTGGCCTTATTCATCTTCCCCACCCTCAGCTGCCACCAAAGGCCTTGTGCCCTGCCAGGTCATTTCTGCACAAGACAAGTCCTTGCACAGAGCCCGAAGCTGGAGGTGAAGATATCCCTGGAGCCAGAGGTGCCTGTGGGGAGGGAGCTCTCCATCTCTCTCTGCTTCCTGCCAATCCATCATCTTGGCCACAGTGATGGCTCCGAAAGAGAAACCTCCAAAACTGGGCCCTAGCCATGGCCTGGGCCCTCTCCTGCTAATTATCATCAGGACAGTAGCCGCCATGTACCAAGGTCAGCCATTACCTGCTGTGCCACCTGCATCACTCAATCCTCAGGACCTCACAGAGCTGCAGGTGCCACTGTATTTCAGATGGGGAAACTGATGCTCAGAGACATGAAGTGACTTAGCTGCCACCACACACCTGGTTTCAGTGTCATGCCTCACAGTGGAACCCCAACTCCTAGCATGCTTCAGGGGCTCTAGACAGAGACCCTCTAAAGGCAAGAAGAGGGTGGGACTTGTCCCTTCTGCAAAGCAATGACTTTTTTGCCCAGCTGCTATTGGTATCGCAGCCAAATAGCCAGATTCCCTTTGTCTGGGGCACCTCCCTCTCTCTCCTGCCTGTTTTGCCCCAAGACTGGGGA